TTGCTTGTTTGCATGTCATTCCTGCTGATAAAAACCAAATATGTAATCAACATTTCAACATCATTGCAATAACAGTTCTTTATTATTCGTGTTGGTAAGAATATTTTCTTTGGACGTCATATGCATCATTGTTGCGTCAAACACCGTGTACGCAAGTTTATATACATTATTTGCTTTGCTAAGCACTTCAGGATAGCCATAATAATAATACAGCCTGTGATAGATGCTTTGACACATTTTCAACATGAGTGTCTCGCATAGATTCTTGTATCAAAAAACTATTAGAAAAAAATGTCATTGAAGACGCATGTTTGTTATTAGTTAGAATGCTTTAAAAGGAGTGATAAGGTTTTGCTAAGACGTACCTTTTAAAGAAAAAATGTGTAAATCATGACTTTTTGCAATTAAAAAAATCAAAATCCATCCAGTAGTAAACAAAACACCAAGTCCCTTTGTATGTAGCAGATATATCTACGACAGCCAAGCCTTTGAAAGCCTTCGAAATCACACATCTGTGAAGGCGCAGCCCATCGTTCAAAATATTTCCTTTTCACGTAGTTGACTATAAAGCGTTTCTTTTTCCAATTAAAATGTAAAATGATAAATAGGGTACCATATTTATTTCTACGAAACATTACTGGATGTAAATTATATAAGAGTTAGAGAGTTCGTTATAAGAGTTAGTTCGTCAGAGAGGTAACGTGGAGTGACATTTTCACAGTAACATTGTGGCATATTTTGTACACTAGCGGTGATACTGATCTTAGAAGAAAATATTAAACACAAAAAATGTAGGCAAATTTATTCTCTTCATTTCATAATACATCAATATTTATGAAAACGTGATATGTTTTCAAATTGTAATGAGATAAAATGGGATAATTGCCGTTTCTTCATGTGTTTTTGCGTATTATCACCTAATTTTGAGGTGCATTCACGGCTAAACTTTAATTGGAGCTGAATGGCATTAAGTAGAGTATTTGTATTTTTTTCATTTCATACAGGACCATATGGAAAATCTAATACTTTTGATTTATTTTGAAACAATTAAAAAAGCGATTTTTACATTTTATGCATTACATTAAAAATCGGTTTTCGACAAAAGATTTTTGGTTAACCTGATGTTCGTGTTCTGTGCCTAAAAAAACATATAGGAACCAAATTTAAAAACTACACCAAAACATTCCCCCATTTGTCCTTTTTGAGCACCATTTGACTGGAGTACTTGCCATTTCGCAAACAAAAGAACACGAAAATCAAATTTATATGCAAATTTTGGTTGTTTTGTAAATTTCAAAAATTCAGAGAGCACGCCGAAAATGCGATCAATTGCATGCAATTGCAATTCAATCAATCAAAGAAAAAATTTGCGCCGTTTCTGAGAAAATAATTGTTAAAAATGTCCTATGTTTTACAGAGAATTACGAAACAATACTCTTATTCACGAAAAATTAAACATTACCGTATTTGAATGTCTGTTTTTGGTGAACACATTTCATGAGGAAACTAGTGGCGCAACAGAATAACACAGACTTTCTCGTATTAGTTTTCTATTTATTTTGGTGTCGGCTAACTATACAAACTTGCCACATATCCTTGCAGCTGCCATCGCCGCCATACGTATACTTTTTTCATAATTTTTCGTTTTCCTAATAGTAAAACGGAAATATTATTTTGAGAATATTAAAGGACGGTAAATCCACCTCCTACATGCCAATTTCCATTGAAAAATTAGGAGATGTTTTTAAGAAACTGACGTTTAAGAGCTACTCTAAATTCGATATTTGAAGCTCTTTTTTACAGACAATTTTTGAGTTTTCGAAGAACGTTATTAAACTTAATTTGAAGCACATTAAATTACAAATACAATTGTATTTGCAGGAAATGTGCATATTAACAGTATGAGATGTTTAAAAAAAATTACATTAGTGTAATTAAAAAAGAAATTAACTGTTTTTTACTAAATAAATCTAAATCTAAACCACATTCTCGGTATCTAGGAACCCCAACACGTGTTTTTCCGTTGAAATCTTGAAATCGTTTTCACATAACTTTCCCTATACATAACTTCACATGACTTCCCCTATACATTACGCTATCCGGTGTCAAAATTTAATCAAAATTATTGGGGCGGTTTTCAAACAAAATTGTTTAAAAAAATAAAAATTGCGTGTATTTCACGCAAAATTACGCACGCTATTTTAAAGTTTCCAAAAATGACACATAAACGTATTTCAAAATCTGTCTTTAAAAATAGATTTCATGAAGGAACAAATCTCAGTTTACAATTTGCACGAATACCCCGAAAAAAATTAAACTTTTTCAAATCAGGGATTTCAACGAAAATGAGAGCTGAACCATTCTCTTAAACGTCCTTCACACTATCCAACATCAAAATTTAATCGTAAAGGTTTGTGCCATTTTTTTTTGAAATGTCCCAGGGGATTAATGTAAAGTATTTCCCAAAATTAAAATATCTGTTTCAAATTAAAGGAGCCGTCTGATCGATTGGGGAATGTCAATCAGAATGTCAGATCAGCCAGATAGATTCGGGAATATCAATTTTGGTGATAATCCTGCTATCGGATTAGCTGCTACCGTTCTTCACAGACAGACGGGCAGATGCTTTCGATCAGAGAATATCCATTTTGGAAAAAACGGCTACACCGTTTAACCACTAGAGTTGTTCACAGACTGACAGACACACTTTTGTCGTCAATCGATTTTTAGGTTTCAAGGACCAACAAAACATGGATTCTGGACATACTGCTTGTTAGAGGAAGTAATTTACTATATACAGGGCCGAAATTTATCATTTTTTTCGTTACCTAGGGCCTGCAGTACTTTCTCTATTCTGTGTAAGCAGTAGTGAGAAAGTTAAAGCACTCGAAGCTTGACACTTGTAGTCTGAAACGCATTTGCTTGGTGCCTGAAGGTTGGCACAGAAAAAGTAATTTTATTTGTAATCACGTGATCCTGAAGTATAAGCATATCATTTATGAAAGTCCAGGTTTTTTGGGGTAAAATATAAACAATGGGTGATTCTTACTCACTTTATTCTCCTGTGTTCAAATATCTTTACAAAAATTATCCATTTGAGTTATGGCATGATAAACATTTTTGACAATTGTGCATTCTATCTTAGAATTATGTTTACTTAAGAAAAATGCGTTGTAACTATCTCTTTGGTGTGTAACAAGCGACTAACAAATTTTGTATTTAATTGTTTAACGTCCAAAAATATTTTAGAACTGTGACTCACATGACTATGATGAAAATTACAATCTGTACGATTTCTTGAGCACTTGGATATCTGGCGTCACATACTACATACTACATAATAAGTTGAATTGTGAATATCAGTAGCAAGGAGCGTCTTTAGCAAGAATAGGCATGAAAATATTCACTCAATTGTCATAAAAACTATTTGCAAAGCCCAATTAGCTAATCAGCTACAGAAATATCCAAAATTTGTAAAAATAAGTCTGTTTAAATACTTTTCTTCGAGAATTGACTCCCGCGGGGCGCAGAAAATACACCGGTGGCCCACACGACGTTGAGTATCATGTGGTGCACAGCTACATGAAACTCTTTAAGTGTCTGGAAGCGGAGGGAGAGAATATAGATGAGAGAACAACTTCAGCATTACGTGAATTATATGGAGCGTCCAGATTAATTGGCACCAAAAGATAGCGTCGTATGCAAGTCTGATTAACAAGCACTTACAAAATATGTGTGTATAAGCTTCATCCTAACTCAAAAAGACTTCTTTCAAGAAAGAGAGAACACATTCTTTCTCCAGCACTGCACCAACGCCGAGGCCCTCTGAGACCTACTGTTTCCGGAAGCGCGACTCATGCTAACTACTGTACCGAAGCGCGACGTACTTGCCAGTACCAAATACTTGTGAGATTTTATGAGCGGTCGCCCTCGGAGGGACGCCGTTTCCCGACCTCGCAGAAAGCAGAGGCTTAAAACTCCGTGAAGGCTCGTGACAGGAGGTACAAACAGCAAATATAGTCTAAACATACCACTAGTTTTTATTCTCCTTTGAATACACCTTTAAACACTTGAAAAAAGTGCAGGTCGCATTTTCGGCAAACTCTCCCTATTTTCCAAAATTGCAAAAAGTTAACATTGCAATAGAACAATATTGATGATACAGATGTTTCCTTAATAAAGTACGTTCTAAAACATTATGTCATGCAAACTTTTTTTTAAACAAACTAGTACCTGTTCGTAATCTTTGCATAAAATTAACGCGATTTACTAAAATTCTAAAAAATATTCTGCATTCTTTTCTTGAAATGTTTCCTCGGATAGAACAAAGAACGGATAAAAATAGCGACCTCATTTTCGTTGAAATGTAATGTGTAATGAAAATGTAAATGAAAATATCTTAATTAACTGGGTGGTTACTGCAGAAATCTTGTGGAAATTCATATGGATACATAAAAAGAAGAAATCTTCCACAAAATCTTTATTATGGAAGATGATTTCAATCAATAACTGATTTTTTTAAATTTCAAATGTAAATTTAAAGCGGGGCGTGGGAAGATTGAATTAAGCTTTCAGGCTGGGGATGTAGGGAGTAACGTAAATGGTGGGCTAACTCATAATGACCTGAGTTCGCACACTAGGACGAAGAAAAGAAAAATAATATTTGCTGGTCGGAAATACACCCACGTTCATTTAGAATCACAATAATCCGTAGTCGGTACAAAAAACGCTAGACAGTATGTTCTGTTGTTTCTCCACTCCTTTCAGTTTTGTAACAGTAGGAATGCTGGTTTTTATAGGTGTTATCTCGCGCACACGCATGGCCAGTTAAGCAGGACCATGATTATCGTAGGATCCCCACTTATATGCAGAACATAGTGAAGAGAATTTCGGAACTTGACCTAATGAGAAAAAAACTTAGATAAGATAAATCATCTTGCAGGTATCGCGTAACTACACCAACATATATAAAAACGGGTCATAATCTTTTTTGTTTTCAGTTCCATGTATAGAAGACAGTTCGCAAGATGTCAGAAGATACCACTGTACCCAAGTGAGTGATATTTACAATTTGTGGAAGAGGCTGCTTGACGGAGAATAATATGAATATTCGTCTTCTTAATAAATTTGACAGTTTGTGGACCACAGTGAACAATGTTGGTCACTTGAGTAAGGGTAAAAGTAAAGGTAAGGTAAGATGCAGAAAAACATGAATAGGAGCAAGAAAAATTGAAATCCACTATTTCCATTTCAAGAACCCTCGACCATTTCGGTCAAAAAATTGTCACTTTCCCTGCAGCTTTACAATATTTTTGCTGTATTACGTATACGCAAAAGTAAAAAGCACCAGAAACCGCATCCACACACAGACAAACAAATGTCTGTATTTACACTAAATTTGTTTTTCTAAGGTCTAAAGGATTGTGAAACAACTAAACAAGCAAACATATACAGGACCCAGAAATATATCGTTTCTTAGATTACTTTCTAGAAACCCAATTCACGGAAAGGTCCTTCGACGCACTCTTGATAAGGTACACACGAAGGAAATGTGCAATGCAGCTCGTGTGAGTTGCGACTGCTGATTTTCTTTTAGCTTCATCTTCAGTTTTATGTATTTTGCCTCTTAAGTCACTTTCAGTCACCGTTGACACGTAATTCCTTACTAATAATAAAATATTTATGAATTTTTGTGTCGATGGTATCTAATAAATCGTACAAACCCGTCAACTATACTCAGCGTATAATTTATAGAAATGTACCCACCTAGAAATATACGTACTTTTTCTCGCATACTACTATCGTAGTATTGAGAAAGCAATGTAATTGTGCGGCAAAAACGACGATTTTAGACAGAAAATTACGATTTGTCGGGGCTCGATACCGAGAGAGAATGAATCCTGTTCCAATATGGAGAAAATTACTTCATTTAATTGGCCTTGTATCTTCAATTATAAACAGTCAAATCTCTTCAATGGTGGGAATAATATGTTTTAATTAATTATGCATTTATCTTTGCAATGAAATATTTGAAGACATGTCCGCTTCTAAAGGTACAAAGGCAAAACTAAATAATAACAAACACTACATCAATATAACATGTATAAGTGTAGAATCGCATTATAAAAATTCAAATGTAGATGACTTAGGAATGAATTAGACAGTTATTCTGATTTACATAATTTACATTAAACTCTCTTCTAGGTTTAACGGCAACATTAAACATTATGAAGAAAAATGAAGATTTACAAATGTCACATTTAGACATTAATTGTCAGAAGATACGAGCATATTGCATATAGTAAAAGTACAACTACTTTTATATATAGAATGTGTCTTCCGTCGATGCCTAAATATGACATTTATAAATGTTCATTTATCTTATTTATGTTTGATGTTGAGGTTATAGCCTGGAATGTGTTTTAACTTAAATTATGAAAGAAGAGACTAAATAAATGTTTCATTCATTCCTGTGTCTTGTACATTTGAATTAAATAAATTGCACACCCTGTCTACGTAAGAGACGATGATGCTACCAAGGGTCGTCGCCTTACTGAATGCGAAGTTTCTGAGTGAAAATCTGTTCATTGCACAGCACTGCCAGGCTGCTGCACGGACTCGTGACGCTGATTCTAAGGCCCATCCTAGAGTTGTGGAAGTTCATTACATGGCGCATACGCTACGTGTATCTGGGTGAAAAAATATCTGGTCCCAAATGCTGGCCGTTAATAGGGGGAATTCTCAATTTTCCTTCATTCACTACAAAAGGTACTAAAATCAAAGATGCATTATTTCAACTCAAATACCTCATTTCTTTAGTTAATTACATTATCAGTATTCCGTATAATTTCAGGTGTAACAGATTTTTTAATGGAACTTCCTCAGATATATGGCTATGACTTTTCTCCTGGTCGAATGTTCCTTGGACCTTTGTTATTTGTTTACACAAACAGTCTAAAAGATCATGAGGTAAGTAATGAACTTGATTAATTTTTAAAAATATATTTTTCGAGTAGAAGTCTTGGAAATGAAACTGTCATGTTTTTATTGTGAAGTATGAGATTTTTATGTCTAAAAAGAGCATAATTTATCCTATTATACCCTTCACCGTTTTGAAGAATTAAATCTGCGGATGAAGCTTTTTCCTTCTATTGGTTATATTAATAATCAGTTAAACCTTGATAAAGGCATTCAGTTAATAAGAATTAAATGTGCCACAATCTTCTTTTATTTATTAAATTGTCTACAGTGTTTAGAACGTTATCACCGAGCAGCATTATATGTTCTTCGAGATTGTGTAGTTTTAATGAACCAAACTGTTGGAGACGCATTGAGTAAGAGTGAATAAATAAAACAAAACTTCCTGAGATTCGTTTCAACCAAATGGAGGTCAAGATAATGGACGATTGTACAGCAGAGGTCAAAACTAAAGCTTGAGCCACCGAATTATCTTCTCCCATTATAATAACTGCCTATTTCACTTTTCAGATGCTTTTATCTGGATACAAATTCTTAGATAAAGGACTTTTATACAAGTTTCTTCAACCATGGTTGGCAACAGGCTTACTCACTTCAACAGGTTAGTATTCATAAAAAAAATATATGATGCATCATCATGCAATTTGTTCAGTATAAAAAAGTATTTGGGATACATAGTTCACAATTCAATAATTGATCAATTCAATGTAAACCGTAATTGAATAGATTCACACGAGTTGTATTTATGAAAAGTAGGATCGTATATGGCAGGAACGCCCAAGCTATTTCGCTCATTGATCCCTTTTAAAAGAATTGTTCTCTCCATCTTCCATCTCCACCTTCACGTTATTCGGTAGTGAGTAACAAATAATCATATCACAAAGAATGGTCCATAAATGTCTGAACTAAATATAACTATTTCGTAGGTCAATATTTTGATAAATATCTATAATTACAATGCTCGTTTCTGAGTTGCGAAGTTTCTAATCTTAGTTGTTGTGCAATGTTACAAAGTGAACGTTTTTAGTGTTCATAATATTTCTCCATTGCGTATTGCAGAGAATGTTTTCTTCTGCGATAGAATATAGCTGTCAGATTCAGTACATAATTATAATTTGTTGGGTTTCCTAAACATCTTAAGGAGTTTCATAGCCAGGTTCTCGGAAATTCTGAATAATAATAATAATAATAATAATAATAACAATAATAATAATAATAATAACAATAATAATAGGTTTAATGGGGAGTTCTGTCGTATGTTGTTTCTTTTGAACTGCTGAAGTTTCACAAAATAAATATGTTGACAAATAATGTAATAATTCGATGGCAATTTTGTGATAAACCTGACAATTTGAAAAGAAAATCTGTTTTGTATTTTTCCCTTCACATAAATGTTTGGTAGGTGATGGTGGGGGAAGGGGGACCTCCACCCGGGTCAACTACTCAGTCGGACATGACACGAATCCCCAGCCCTGTAAGTCGCGCACTAAATTCGGCGAAAAAGCATGCTCCTTGATGAAAAGACGTCTTTTTACAATGAAACCATGCCTTTTCATCATAGTGGGCTTTGCTGTCACTTCGAGGTCGATTTCGAGTTGGCGCAGGCGCAGAGACTCAGAAGTGCAGCAGATTGCTGCACGCTCCGCCCTGCCAAAACTGCCTACGGACGTTAAGCCCAGCGCAGCGACAGTAATATCATCTTTCTGTGGATGGTCGAAAGTGATGTGCAACTCGAACTGGACATGCTCCGAAGATCGATATAGCTATCGACGTTTGAATATTATGCTTTGCTTAAAGTCCCTAATTAATTGTAATTGATTAATTATAATCTAAAAATAACCAATTTCGATTAATCGATTGATTAATCGAATTGATTATTTTTTTCCATCCATTGTCTACATACGTTCAAGTTTTAAGTGGTGAAACTCATTTAACGTATTTTTTCCTTATTTAGATAATTTTCTTTCACATTACACAATAATTCTTCTCAAACACGCGCTGTCTCTCGTCGTCTCTTCCTCCCCTTCTTCCCCCTTCCCCGTCTCCTAAAATGTCTTTTAACGCAAACGCTGTATAATCCATATATTGTGCAATCGAAATGCCGCGCTAACGAAATAGAGCTTTCGATATGTGGGGCAATCGATGTATCGCATCGACATTATGTCGCAAAATCGATTTACTTAAAAAAAGAATATGGACTTTACGCATATTGAAGCGTACAAAAATCGATACTCTTTACCAGTTTTGAACGCCTGCGCATGCGTAACGCGAACTGCACATGTACAGAATTTCGACCTTGCTGTCGGCTGCTGTACGCTAGGGTATGTTTAAAGTCCCTCACATTTACTTTCCTGTTGCGTGTAGGAGAAAAATGGCGCTCCCGTCGGAAGGCGCTGACGCCCGCCTTCCACTTCAAGATCATCGACCAGTTCGTGCCGGTCTTCAACAGCTGCAGCGACGTCTTCGTGCAGCAGATGCGCGCGCGCGTCGGGGCCAAGGGCTTCGACGTCTATGAGGACGTCAAACTGTTTACCCTTGACGTCATCTGCGGTATGGCGCGCTCCCATTACGAACACTACATCACCAATATGAACACACAGCTAAATTACGGAAGTGGCGAATGTTTACATTTTAATTTCTTCGACAAGAACACATCAAATACGTTACGCTATGTTTTTTGCACGCTGAGAAGTTTTATGATGTTCCAGAGCTGTAACAGGACGAACAACTCCTTTTGTATTTGACGTGCGCCTTAGCCACTCAAAGTCCATATCTTCAATTCTTTGACAATACGAATTGTATGCATATCAATTCACTTTACATATTGTATCTCTTAAACCCCGTTCCCTCAAAATATTCTATAATTGGATTTTTGAAGTGAAACTGTTCTCCCATTAGTCTACGTAAGTCTAGACGCTGCATCCAGATAAGCGTAACGAAAAGTATAAATGATTTTCTGGCTTAACTATGAGTCCGAAAAGTTCTGAATTTGTTCTGGCAAAGTTCATAAAACTGCACAACAAACTCCGCAATACGCCCCACAAGAGTCCAGTTACATGAGGCGACAAAATAGGTGCAACACGGAAAAATTCCCACTAAATGTTTACTTTCTCGTGTGCACTTGCTATACAAAGTAACGTATTGCTGCGGGAAAAGCCCATCAGATTTTTCATCACAAAATCATCTCCTGTAGATTCTAGTTACCAAAAAAATGTATTTCTCGCTACTATATAAAGTAATATTTTTTTTCGAATTCACAGTGTAATTAGAATTCTTTTTGTTTTATAACCTTTGGTAATAAACGTATTCTTTTCTCAGAAATCTGTCCGTGTGTTCATATGTTTTCTACGAACAACACTAGCGCCTCACGATAGGAGGCAAGATTTTCAACAAAATCGATATTCCCAGTCTGATGCCGCGAACATTCGAATTTAAAGGGGATAATTTAATTTTTCAAAGAACTTTTCATAGAAACCACTAAGACGTTTTCGAAATTTTCTCTAAAAGTGGCTTTATTTTTTCCCTTTTTTCACTTGCACAAGCAATATTCCCTTAACAAAATTTTCAGATCCGATTTTCATTAAAGTGTATCAGGGAGGTGAAAACGGCTTTGGCGAGGTGATGTACTACACGGATACCAAACCCTTGCCCAACCTGTGGGCTACCCGTATGGCTCAGTGCTGATTGTCAGGGCAAGGGGAGAGAAGGCCCTCGGCTCTAGTACAGCTCACGGGCCAGTGCAGCAAGCCACCGCGCCTGGGTTCAATTCTTGCATTGGAGGGGCTCTGATCTAGTCGATTAGGTCGTCGGTAGAAAAGCCTAGCAGTGGCGGCTCTGGTACTAGACAACAGGGAGGGCACACAACGTTACAGGATCAAATAAAATTAGGCATTTGAAAAATTGTTATATTTGGATTGTTTAAGTAATATTTACAATTGAATTATCTCCCAGGAAGACAGGCTTTACATATTATCTATAAATTAAATATAGTCTTCTGTTTTTAGATTCTATAAATTTATCTATTACTAATTCTTTAAAAATAACTAAGTCTCGTAACAAAACTCATTTTTATGTCAGTACGTTCCGTATCAACACCGCGTTTAGGACACAGGCAAGTGTCCGCAGCCAATGAAAACCATTCTACAGAACAAGCGGGAGTATGAAAGCTAAAGATGCGTTCGATTCGAAAACAACGCTACGAACCCACAGAGATTATTTTAAACAATGCAGGAGGAGAAACACTGATCTCAGTAGGAAGAGGGCAGTGTCCCTAGCGCTTCCCTGCCGCAACCGCCACTGGAACCTAGGTGTCTGCGATTAAACATAAGCCCGGGAAAATAATTCTGTGAATTCTATTAGTATTATAGCCATCAGAATGAAACTTTGCCATGTTGTATCGTTTATAAAATAGAGGTATGCGTTTTAAAAGATTCAGAGTGATCGACAAATAAACCACGATATAATTAATATTCCTGCTACACATTATATATTGACTCGTAAACATTAACTCATCACACTCGAAGTAAAGAGAAAAAATTGCACGAAGGAACACTTCTATTCCCCCCACAAAATATAAGTCATTTCCCTACGAATGTCATAGTCGCATCTTCGAGTTTCACTTGGAACGCGCGTGGCAGAATCGCAACCTCTTTTCTCCTTCCCCTCAGATTCGAGCATCGAATTCCCTCGATTGTCTAGTCTTCCTTATCAAAATACGAATGTACGTTATTCTTTGTTCTTTGTTCTTTAATTTGAAATACGAGTGAAAAACGGTAGAGGCAGTAGCACATGTGCTAACTTTTGACGAAGACTATTTTAGTCACTTTGGGGAATAGTGGGGTCATGTCTCATTATTGACAATTCATAAACCCAAACCTTATTGTTATAGATATTCATGTTGTGTAAAATGAATAGAAAACTTAAAACATTAATGTATTATTGTAAATTTCAGAGACTGCCATGGGCTACAAAATTAATGCACAGATAGACAGTAACTCCGAGTATGTGACCGCATTGAACGAGTGAGTATTTACCAACTCCGATATACTAAGGCTTGGAATTGTTGATAGTAATGAAATTTCGATGTAAAATGTTACTACCATGTTTATGCTCATTTGAACCTTTTGATGCTGAGCTGGTACACTTTTCATTTCAAGACAGTCGGTATCAAACGATCGCTGAGCAATTAAAAGATATTCACCATAAAAAAAGCAATAAAAAAAGCAATTGAGAGATAACAAAATAATAAAAATAATAATTAAGTTGTAAATTTGTAAAATTACATACTAAATAACCACAGTAACATTACAAAACAGAAAGTGATTTTTTTTTTAATTTTTCAGACTGCTGCGTCTAACCGTTGTAAGGGGTATGAAGCCATGGTTGTACTTAGACTGCATCTATTTTCTCACACCTTCTGGACGACAGTACACGAAATGTCTGTCCATTTTGCACGGTACAACTGACCGGGTGAGCACTCCCTTATATGTTTTTAAATTGTAATTTAAAAAAACTTGTGATACAAATTAAGAAATAAATCTCTAGCATTAATGTCGGATTTACCGTTCAGCTACATCTTGAAGCCTTAGAGTCCAAGGGGCCTCAAAAATTATTAAACAAAGTGGCAAATGTGCTCAAATTTCGATGGAAATAAGCAAATTAATGCAAAGTATAATTTTACATGAGGACGATACTTATCAATTTTTATTTATTCAGACTTTGAATACAATTATTATATGAAGGCTTGTTTCAATTATTTAATTAATTTGCAATAAAAAGGTTCAAATCTCCCATCTCAACTTGTTGCCAGTAAAAATGGGAGCCACAAATATTGTAAATCCTCCGCTGTCTAGCCTTGAACGGAAGATCGGGATCGAAAAAAATTAACTTTTAACCGTGAAGGCTGCAGGTTTGAGTTGTGCGTAGGCATGGTTGTATTTGTGATCGTCCCTCCACCTTTCATCATCATCATCCTATCACCTCTTATATCGTAATTCAAGGTTTCACAACCTTGTCTTGCTGAAGGATACAGCTGAAAACCTGATCCCCATAAGAGGTCGTGAAGCGTTGTCCGAAATGGCCGATACGGAAATAATAATAATAATAATAATAATAATAATAATAATAATAATAATAATAATAATAATAAATATTTTAAAGCAACTATATCCGCTCTTCATTTTCTGTGAATGCTAACTCTTTCTGTTGATTGCAGATGATTCGCGAGCGGAGAAAGGATCTGCTATTGTTGGAGAAAGAAAGCGGAACGCTGGACGTCGATGAACTAGGTATGACGTAGCCACAAAGATTAACACGGTTCTCAAACATACAATAAACTATGTCCTGGTCACAAATGGGACGATGGTTGAATTCGAAGTCACAATCACTTATTGATGCTCCAACAGAAGTGTAGAAATCTATTGCAAGTACTGAGCGCGCTCGTATTGCAGATTGAGTGTTCGGAACACTTGGCATTTACTTTGATTGCTTTATCTAATTCGCGTTCTTTTCTCTCTGCTATCGCATCAGAGTTGGGTAGCAATCTCCTTTTCTGTCGCATGTTTCGCGTAGGTTAAAATATGAAATGAATATGTACGAAGAGAAAATTTAATAATGTTTTTCTGTTAATGGTTAAATTAATTAAATCCCAAATTTTATTCAATTTTCTATTCAATTAGTTTTATTGAAGTTTAAACGAGCAAGTGAATGTATTGTTCTTTTAGAGATCAATTAAATCTGATAAAACAACAGTGCGCAAATTTACTTTATTCAAATTATATGAACACATTTCTATTAAATTTCTTTAATATCGGCAACCGCAATAGTTTCCGCAACCGCAACCGCAATACATTGTCATGAAGTCAGATTAATAACATGGGCTGGTAATCGTTGTTTGTATTTTTTTTAATCCTTCCACAGTACGGCAGATGTTAACACTGCTCATGACAGAATCCGGCGGTTAAATTGTTTTCTTCGTTCACTAATAAACAAAATCCCTTTTGTTGGCAGGGCGGCGGCGGCGCTTGGTGTTTCTGGACCTTCTGATCTTGATGGCGCGCGACGGAAGTCTCTCAGACATGGACATCCGCGAGGAGGTGGACACCTTCCTCTTCGAGGTACGTCCCTCCACCGCATCGTACATTCTACACTCAACGTTAGCTCACGGAATCATATAACTAGGGTTAACTAATGATTTTTTCGTGATTCTTGTCGCGACAACAGCTATCGTCATAAGTCCCGTAAGTATTGCGGATATTTTTATCGCGGGAGATGGAGGTCATTTCCCCTAGCTGAATGGTAAGATTCGACACCAACCTAAAGATACTATTCCGTGTTTTCCCCATACAGGTGTCTCCCACCAGTGGAGGACACCAGGGAAAAACCAGGTGTGTAGGGAAAAACCAGGAACCCTACCCGATATGTGTGATAGTATAGTGTGTGTAAGTAACGAGGTGAGGAAAGGACAAGGAAAGAGGAAGGAAAAATCGCGCGCGGTGCGTGGCCAGTTTTTAGGGTATTGCTTGGGCAATCGTCAGGTGTTGACCGGGGTAAAACTACCAATCAGAGCAGGTTTCTGCTAGAATTATACTCCAAACAGCACTTGACCTCCACCTAGCTATCTACCAAGTGAAGAAACTCTAGTCATATGTCTTGGTTGTGGGGCTGACACGAAGCATCATCAATATGGTCCATTTGTTAGCTTCAGCTTCCTTTCAAGAACAATTATGTAGTATATAGTACATCTCAAATAACAGAGAATTTTATGAAGTGGAGATGACCAACCCTATGGCTAGAAATGCATCTCAAAATCATTTGTCCTTATAGATGCTTCACAGTTGGTGTAACGAATAACAACAAAAAAGTCATTCACCCTTTTTGCGGAGAACAAACCGTTTTTTTTACCAGTGTGATGAAAATTAAATTTGGACTTATCCGATAAAATACGTTTATTCGACAACTCAGTGGACCATGCCACATGTGCTTCTGCACACTGTAGTGTCTTTTGTCGCATTTTTTACGTCAGTAAAGCCTTCTTTCTGGGATGACTCGCGGGAAGACCGGCTTCAAACTGTTCTGCTGGTCATAGAAAAGTCGCACATTTCTTCCTATAGTCATTTGAGAACTAGATGAGAATCGGAAAGACAAATTCGTTTTAGAATTATATACTGCTTGGGGGTAGAAGACCTTTTCCTTCCTCTCCCTTTCATACGATCAACATTTCCATTTTCTCTGTACTCTTTAGAAGCCTAGAGATAATAGACGGATGAAAATCAATCTTGGAGGATAATATCACTAGTACTGAGACCAACAGAGAAATAAGCCAATACAACTGCTTTCTTTCCCGGCGTGAACTCCACTTCTTTGCCAACGTGCCGCACACAGTTTCACAAGAATTGGATCAACTAGTAGAGAACAGCTGTTATATACAGTCATTGTTGACAAATAACTAATAAATTCTGAAAGAATATGTTTCAATACATCAACAATAGAAGGAAAATACAAAACCAACCATTGAACAGCTAGCAATTCAAGGTTTTACATGGTCTTCAAAACAAAAAAGTATAATAATAAATAGCGATGCTATATTTTTGTCCCCCACCCCTCGTAGCTGAAAACACAAAATCCCATATAAATCATTAGTAAATATTTCAAGTGTTTTTTCGTACACAAATGAAAATACCCCCTCTTACTTAATCTCTCGTGGCCGTCTTCCCATTCTGCCACACCGCTGTGGTTGTTTAGTGCCGCACTCGCCGCCTCGTTGCCGCCCTCTTCCTTATTAGTGACGTTATGGTATCCATCCCGTACTGGCTCGTGCTGGCTCGTTCACGCCCGTTGCCGCCGCCGTCGCTGTTCCGACGCTGTTCCGTCACACATATTCCCTCAACTATGGTTTCCCTCGTTCCTGTCTCAGCAGCTCTACCCCACCCACATTTTACTGTCGCTACTGCGCCCACCGCTGAGGAATCTCAACAGTGCATGTGAGTTTTGGCTTCGCTTGCTGTAGAGAACACATTCCCAAGTTTTTTTTCGCACCTCTCCAAATTTATATGGAGCTCGCCCTTGCCAAAATTGCTTTAGCGCCCAAAAGCCTTATGCGATCCATCACGAATCCAGGAATTCGCGTTCATGAATATCACCTCTAGACGTTACGCCACCAATTCGAAGATGTTCGATAAATTCTATGATGATGATAATTTCGACAATATGACGCCAGAAGACGTATCAACGTATCTACGCGTTCCCGAAACACCGCTAAGATGCATCTCATCACTGCACGTCTTTCACTTTTCAGAAGCTCCCGCAAAACACGACCGCACCCTACGAGACAGTGAGAGACTGACGCAGCTGTGGCGTAGTGTAATTAAACACACAGACAATAAGAAACGTATATAAAGGTTTGATTTACAAAAGTACAAATAATATATTGCACTACCCCGTACACACTTTCCAGTATTTCCAGGCCGCCAGCCGCGATCGTACCCTCTTGTGGATACACTACATGTACATGAAAGGTCTCACCTCGAGTGCACGCTTCTATTGCGCCACTCATGTGGCCTTTGTCACTCGTGCAACGCACGAGTACGCACCAGCCCGGCTGTGAATTTACAAGAAAATAAAACTCCGGGGGGTGCGAGTCGGCCAATTAATCGCCGGCTTATCCCCACGTGACCACCGTTGAGCGTGGAAGGGAGGTTTACTGTCTCGTGACATTTGCTTCAATACAAGCCCGCGTCTTCCTGTCTCTAAAAATATCTGCCACTGTTCCGTCCACTACACAAAGCCCTCGCGCAAAGGCGGGTGGTCGCTCGCTCCCTCCGGAGGCGGCCGCTCCCGCAGGGTGCGCCCGCCGCACTCACAGCTTGCCACCCGCACCGCCGGCCTCTTCCCCAGCCCTGGCGGCCACCCACCCCGGCTTTCCCACTTCGCCTGGGAGAGGGGCAGCTCTGAGGTCCACGCATGGCGTAGCCACCCAGCATCAGGTATTCGGCAACGCCGTGTGCCCATGGACGTGTAGTGCGACCAACCTTCACGGTGATAAGTAACATAGAAGTAACGAAAAAACATTTTGTATCATTGATTTAATTTCATTTCTGTACAATTAACAGTTCATTTGTCATATCACCCGATCCACGAAGAACAGATATCTAGTATTAATAAATAGTATATGTAATGAAATTCTCGTAATTTTGACATCCTCCACCTTCTCCCTTAACCAACGCCATCCCTCCCCCCCCGTGCACCTCACGGCCCGATGCGGCGTACAATCTACTTTATATGGAGAATGGCCTTTCAGTCCGCTTATGCATCCCCTCCCGCGTTCTAGGTATTCTTCCCCCTTCTCTGTATAGGAACCACCAACGCCGTGGCTTCTAGCTACAGTTCTCAGATAGAAGAGGCTTCCGCTTTTCCTTCCACGCAAGGCAGCCAAAGAGACGCTACACAGCATTAAGTGCCAAAAAGCGTATTTTTGCGAGAAAATAGTTTTGAAGCAAACTAATGTTTAAGAGCGACTTTTTTGTGCACAATTAAAAGAAAATAATTTCCGCGTGTATATCTTGGCAATGACATGGTCAGCGCAAATTAAAGGAACATTTACAAAATTGTACATGAATTTCTTCTTGTAGATCACTCTGTAAGTTCTTAAAAACCATTTTCTTTTAGGCATATTATTTACCTTAACGTATTTTGAATGTGTTTCAGGGGCATGATACTACAGCAGCTGGAATTGGTTTCACCATATTTCAGATATCGCGTCACCCTGAGATCCAAGTAAGTAGTCAAATGTTTTCTTCAGCAAACATCATTCGATCCAATATCATCATTATGCGGGGTGTCCGGGGAGGAAAAATCGAAAATTCAAAAATAAGCTCTTAAGACAATTTTAAGCATATTTTGTCTTGTAAACTTGGTGGATATTCCGACTGGATGGGCAATATGCACTCACAAGTTGGTTTAAAAAATGATTTCTAAGCACAGAAACACGTAAATTATGTATTATTTACAAAAGAAATAAATTCATTTATTCAGAAAGAAAAATTAACCCAGAAATAAAAGCAGTCGAATTGTGTAAATTGTTTGCGGTAAATTGTGCAAATTTTCGACGTCCCCTCCCCGGACACACTGTATAATCAGACAAACTGTTTAATCATGCAAACCTTTCCGCGGGATATCCAAAAAAGAAGTAAAATGGGAAAACAGTAAATAATAATAACAATAATTATAAATTTTATTAATTTTCACGTAAGTTAACATAAGGCAGATGTGCCCGAATGAGCAAATTTTTGTGCTCGTGTGCAGTGTAAGTAAACTTATAACGAAAAACCTGAGATAAGCTGATTTAAATAAAGCAACTTATAAGTAAGCAATAGTTTTACAAAATTGTATCCTAACATACATCAAGAAAATTATACAAAATACGTATTAAAAACAGAAAACTAGCGCAAATTATATTATGATGATACAAAATTAAAAAAACAAATTAGCAAATAGCGAATTTTAATAATGCGTTTTGCAGTAATTCCAAAGGCTTTAGATATATTTGAGCGATGCCACCACAGCCAATTATACCGTATTCTAATACACCTTAGAAAAGCAAACTAAACGTAGAATAGTAGTACGAATTAGATACCTAAGAATAACAAATTGTCTTGCGTAATTTGGTACAAATACTTGCAATGTGTTTTCCCTACTTTAAGTAATGGTCTATTTCAATTCGAACAAACTTTGACATTTTTTTTCTTTTTTTTGGACACACACAATTATTTCTTATTCATAACGCATTTTAATGCTACGGATTTAGGAGATTTAGTTGCTAGTTATTTAAAGTTTTTATTTGACAAGCAAAATGGAATAACAGCTGTTTAAGCGATATTTAAGGATCGCAGATTCGCCAATCATACATAACATTCATACCTTTGTTTACATTCTTATAAACGTAATTCATATTTGTGCTGTTGAATATTGCTACTGTACCATCTGCCAAAGAATATATAGTTTCAGTTTTTTTCTAAATCTCTGAATCTATGTCTATTCAGAAATGTCACTAGAAGACAGATCTAGTCGCTTTCTCTTCACGAGTATGCCTCCCACAGAAGCGTAAGAGCACTGAAACCACATCACTGGCAATTGCAAATGTATGCAATTGTTAGATAGTAACTTGGGAGTTGTGTGTGTGTGCAAATTGACACGAGAAATCATGTACTTTTCCCATAACCCTTCTCTTGCTTGTTCCAGGAAAAAATATATGAAGAACTGAAGAGCGTCTTTGATCCATCTAAATCGATAAGACCGAACATTTCCGATCTCTCACAGCTGAAATACTTAGAAATGGTCATTAAAGAATCTCTCCGATTATTTCCACCAGTGATTTTAATTACTCGAAAAATTGAAGAAGAAACCATTCTTCCTGAGTGTGAGTATTTTAAGCGAATATTGAGGTGAATCCAGTGAGCTCTATTGTAGACTGGAGACAACACAGTGCTGAGAAATTGTGACGATCCGTCATGATAGTGAACGTGTATTCTGTCCTCGTTATATCGGAACAAAATAGCAGGAATTAGCGTTTTATTAAAATTTAAAACATTTATTCTCTTTTATGCTCAGAAAAACTTAATAAAAACTGGAAAAGAACCAATATTTAATACTGTGAATTTACCTACAATTCTTTAACGAAAGCCAGTCTTTCATTTCTTGGAGACCTTTTTTTAACATTTACGGAGGGAAGTGTTCTGGGTTTGCATATTTTTAATAATTACTGTAGTTCAACTTCTGGCAAATAATTGTTGTTGTGATAAAGGAAACTTACAAAAATTACTGAAGTATTAGCTACCAAATAATAATTATATACTGCATTCTCATAAAGTTTACAGCTCAATATTTACATGTCTGTACAACTGAATCCTATTTCCATTTTGATGGAGATTTTTACAACCGGATACTGCTGCTTTATATACTGTACTGTATTTTCGTTGCCACGGTTAACCATGTAAGAAAGTCTGAAAGTACGTTCACCACAGACAACCCAACGAAAAAGGATTGTCACTATTTTCAACCCTCCAAAGCATTCAATTGTGTGTCCAGTTATAATGTTGAGATTATTGGGTGACCCATAGAGACTATATTTCTTCAAAATATTCAGCGATCTGTCATACTTCCTGAATTTGTTTTTGAAATATATTGTCCGTGGCATTATTGAATACTGTACAAACAGTACATTCTGGAAAGTTTGTGGAAACAATAAACATTATCGAAGTTTTGAATTTAGATATACTAAAGCAATATTCGCATTTATTCTGGGTATTCGACATTTTTCCAGCATAAGAAAAGGATTTGTTGATAATATTAATTGAATGGAAAATTTTGAAATTCATGTTCATATTATAATTTGTTTTCACAAAACACAAAAAATAATAAATATAGGAAACAAAAACATTTTAGTGGGGATATAAAGCTATGTACTGGGAATTTTTTTTTTGAGTTATCGAGAAAAGGGGGAAAAGATGTGATGAAAACCTGATCTTTCTAATGGAATTAAAAGATGAAAGACGTATTAACTAGATAAGCTAAAGTTTATTTAGAGGAATCTACACACGTACCGGACAGACGGACGAACGTCGTTTTAAAAAAACATATTTTCGGTATCACGGGACCGGAAAACGTGTATTTCCGTTGAAATTTCGAAATCGGTTTTGCGCAGCATTACATAACTTTCTATATTACTTCGTATATGTGTACGTATACGAGAAGTTAAAAAATATACAATTTATTAAATAAAAGAACTAGTGGTGCTAGTACTTTCTCGCCATTAGTAATGGTTATGTAATACTATTTACAGGGGATCCCCGGGCTAGTTGTTTGTTTTAATTTATTTAATTTTTGAAAATGTAAGAACCATAATTTAAAACTTATAATACATGGAACAATAGAAGTATTCTTTGTAAAAATTTCCATAAAATTTCATTTAAAATACATAATATTTTAAATGATATGTAAACAATGTTATACAGCAGTACACTTTGTCACAATGTGCCCCTCTACGGAGCAAAGTGTGACTGGACTGGGGCACTTTGTGACGCGTGTAAAAGAAACTAGAATATTGTGATATTCAAATATAACAAACGTCTTTATGCTGATTCATTTATTCTCTTCGTTGTTTTGAACATCTGTACGGCAGTAAATATAAACAGAACATTGTGAGGTGATTAGGAAATTATTTATCACAAATGAGAATACTTATTTTAAATCGCTTTTACAAACACTTGGCGCACAAAGACCAAAGTGCGAATTATGAGAACTACCTAATTGAGGGTCAAAAGAGTTGTAACGAATGTTTTTCGTTTGAATAATAGCATAATATGTGTGCAACATGGATTGTGTGGTACCCACCGTGCCATGTCTCACACTCCTCACAAGCTTTGTGAAATCTAAGAGTTTATTGCCAATGAGACATATCTTCAAGAAACTATTTTTCAGAAAGGGAAAGTGTTCAAATTCAGGTTCGTAATTTAGGATTAAATCAACTATTTTCGGATACAATCGAACACACGAGAAACACCATTTTTAAAACAATATATGCCAGCTTGATGTAAAATGTCTTAAGAATATATTGAAATATCAACCTTGAAATCAAACGAAAACGGATATCTATCCCTTTGGAAATAAACTTTTCAATAATTAAGAAAATGAAATGCTTTTCATGAAAAGCAAATGGTGAGATCTCTTTAAAACGAACTATAATGTAGATATATCATTTTCTAAAAAGGTCTTCAATTACGTACGCAATTGAAAAGCAAAAGGGGAGATCTCAGACCAATTTGGTATACTGCTGTAGTACATAGAATAATAAGATTAGCATGTACGGCAGATCACTAGTAGATGTGTTTTCATCCACAGCCCAAACCGTGCTGCCGGAAGGTACGAACATGTTCATAACGCCTTTTGGCATACATCACAACCCGGACGTGTACCCGGATCCGGAGAAGTTCGACCCGGAGCGCTTCTCTGCGGACGAGTGTGCACGCCGCCACCCGTACGCCTACGCTTGCCCTTCAGCGCCGGCCCTCGCGAACTGCTTGTATGTAACCGCACCACACAACCGCAAAGCTGGGGCCTCGGAGGCACTGCGGTGGCTATTAGATCACTCTTAGCAATCTAGACGAAGAATAGGAGCTAAATTCATTGCGAAAGCTATACGAAGTCGCAGTTCGATTGCGGGATGATTATGTCGTCGTTAACAATACATATGGGTTCAGGGAAACACATGTCACTGTCATTAATTTATAAAAAGCCATTTTAATAATTCTTTGAAACATATATACAACATAAGGATAGTTAATTAAATCTATCTTGAAGGGCTTGGAGGATTGTGATTTTACAAATACTTAATGCTATTCACTCGAATATTTGTAGTTCAAGTTAAGAAGTTTCTTAGTGCTCTTGCATTATTGATTGGCCTTTCTTGAGACGCTCTGGAAGTAGCACTCCTGGAAGTAGTACTTACAGTTTCATGTCTAGCGATTATTTCCCACATGAAATAGGCATTATGCAGAAATGTTGCCACGTAGTAGGTGGGGCGAATGACGTTCGGCTGGGGTTGATGTCGGTCGGTGGAGCCCACTTGGGCATAGCAGATTTGAGTTTGGTTAGTCGTGTATGTAGAGAAGGTACACGGTCATCATTCTTGAAGTGAGAGTTGGATACGAAGAGTCGCCGAGAAGTCGTACGACGAGATATGTAGACGTTGCGTGAGAGCTACGAATAGGCAACGTAGCGAAACCGCGCGTTACGAAGACGAAGTAGATGTCGAGAAGCCCGTTTGGCAATTAGAAACCCAGTGGAAATAAGGGTGCACAGCGACCAACAACCGTCACTGACGGCGAGAAGGGAATGTTTTGTGAGTCACACCGCTGTGGGCTCGGGCGGTCGCACGACAGGCAGCAGACAAAACCTGGTTCAATGGCGCGTCTAGTGTGAACGCTGCTATTTAGAACTGTGTTCTGCTGGCGATGGCGCGGATGTGCTTCTGTACTGCTAGTGGACGGAATCACAGGGCCACAGCAGGGCCACAGGAGGGCCACAGCAGCGCGACTATACCATACCTCCATATAAACTAATGCTTTGCCAGCAGACGCGCGACTCGGAAGACCTGCTGAGTGGCGCCGTGTAAAGGGTTCCTAAGAACCGTCAAGTTGCGCGATTGCTATGATTGAGCATAGCGAAGTTGCCCACAGTGGCGTAGTAGCTGCCGCGAATGATGGCTAGACGAAACTTGATAACCATTAGAAGCGGTTAACTGAGGATGGTTATTAAGACTTTCGCAGGTACAGAGAAAGAGAGAGGACACGTGCTCCGGGCTTTGACTCGGGAGTCAAAAGAAGGCTTAATCCTCAGTCCTCAGAGGTAACAGGAATTAATATTTATTGTCATTTATTAATTATTAATAAATGGCATATGGGTTCTTACAACTCGTAAAAAATACCTCCTGACAAGGTGCACGCATTCTACACAACACGTCGAGGAGTGAACAATTAATAAATCACAAACAGTAAATACTAATTCGTGGTATCTCTGAGGATTGATTCTGCATGGTCCTAATATATATCCAATGCTTCACCAATCACACCGTCATTAAGAAAATGATCAACAGGAACAACCAAAAACATTCTCCAAATCATCACAGATCTTAAACTCTGGATGACCTGTACAAGATGGGGTCTTCCAACAAGTATTAACAAGTACCTCCTGACTCGGTGCACGCATTGCACGCATTGACGAAACGTCGAGGTGTTAATTAATAAATTACAAACAATAAATACCAATAACTGGAATACTGCGGTAGTGTGTGCCTATCTCTGTAATGTCAATACTTTCTTTTATCTTCGTCTTAGATCAAACTTTGTACCTTAAGGCGGCTCCACACCTCCGACATTCACCAAATAGCGAGCGACTGCACGCCCAATCCCGAACAGCTGATGTGCTCAGCAAATTTTCGCTTCCAAAAGACCGAGGCACGGTGGTGAGAACGAGACCCGAACGTTCGTCACTCGGGAAATAACAAGCAAATCATCCGCAGGGATTCGGCGAGTAGTCGCTCTCTACGCCTGTAGGCGGAAAGATGCCAAATGGCCCAGGTCACCTGGTTGTCGCAAACTGCCATCAGTCCCTTTTACGATACGAAACTGCTTCATTCTTTGCTCGCAGGTCAGCGTTTCGCCATGCTGGAGATGAAGAACGTGATCGCGAAGCTCGTGTGGAACTTCCGAGTGCTGCCGGAGCCCGGGTTCGAGCCCTCGCTGGTGTGGGAGGTCATCCTCAAGTCGGAGAACGGGCTCTTAATTCGTCTGGAGGAAAGACAGCGGGAGTCGAACTGAAGACTTCGAGTTGAAGTCTCCATCCATCATATCCCAAAACTCACGGTATTCTCACGAGATGGCACGATGTACACATATGCGCCTTGCTAAACACAAAGGTCGTATCTACAACCGAGCGCAAAATGAGAAATCCAGGTTTAAAGTTTAAAAACTTCTTTAGTTGATCCCCAACTAGTTAGATATAATTCATAGCTATTGTTTTGTAAATATTTGGAAAATATATGCACCAAATATCACTTTACATGCTTACTATTTGTCACTTACGACCAAAAAACCTTAATAATCTACATACAAACCACTTTATTCAAAAGATAAAACTTTCCGTTCGTAATATGATCATTCAACTTAAGCATCTGGTATAACAAATTACCAAGAGCCATAACAACATTAACTCAATTTGTCCAAAAACTGCAGACACAACCTTCGTGAAGGGCGCGACCAGCCTAGCTCTTTGGCGGAGAGGGGAACAATCCAACTGGCAGAGCTACATCAATATCTTGAGGTAGTGCTCAGACGTGAGCGAAAAAACGTCGAAAACGAACTTAATAAATTGTACACCTTGAAGATCAACAATAACGGAAACTATAAGTGATTTGAAAAGCATCATACATGAGAACGAGGATTAAAAATGTTTTCACTCATTACTGCCCTGTATTCATTTCTGAGATTAAATTATACTTTAAGGATTATTTATATTTCAGATTATATTATATTTCAAATAAAATATTATCCCTCATTCTTCATATAAATCGGCTGAATTCAAAGGAAAAAGTCATTAAAATGGATATTATTGTTGATGATTTAGCAACAGTATGATATATTTGTGATGTTGCTCGGGTATCGCTGCCATGTAATAGAAATAAACGTTTATTTTTATTTTAAAGGTTATTTATAAGTTAGAATTAAAAATTAATTATATTTTATAAGAGATGTGGTGATGTTTTATTGACAATTAATGACTGTGGCAAAAAGTAAGAATAAGAGAGAATGTATAAATAACTTTTGCATTTAATAAATGCAATCATTAACAAAATAACATTAAATGACTGACAAATGCACACTATTTACATTTTAAATGAACTTTTGTCAAATAAACAAAGAATAAATATGTCGGCTAGAAGAGCCGGAGTTGCTAAGGCTGTTGGGACGTAGTTGCCTCGGCTCGAAGGGTCGTGGGTTCGAATCTCACCTCGAGCATGGATGTTTGTGTTGTCCTTACGTGTCGTGCTCCCCTACAGTTAGCCCATTGTAAAATAATTAAAGTGGTCACTGCATGACCTAGTAGTTAAAAACCGACCCAAAAAAGAATAATTATCCTATTCGCTAGTCGTTACTTTTAATACAAATTAACACCATTACACTATTGCCATCTTTGCTTTTTTCATTGTAGAAAGCCCAGTGATGACTCGGACACTGATAGGGTTCGATGTGTGCCATTCTTTCAAGAGATGGATTTCACTAGTTACACTAGTTAAAATGTCTACTTTTATTAAGAAAGACAAGGGTCTTTAGGTTCGTCTTTTCGAATTTAATGATAAAGAAAATAATATTGTGCCGTGTTGGTAAAAGAAATCTTAATGTATTCTAACATATATTAATTTATATAAACACAACAGTAAGATTACGCATAAAACAGAATAAATAAATGTTGAGCTACTCCAATGATATACACTTTTAAATACAGATTCTCAAATAACAGCATAATCAACACTTACCTAGCCTAACAGTAACAAATAAGCTTGTTCTATTAACTCTAAAAATAAAGAAAATATAAGTACATCGAAACAATAATCAGACTATGTATAGGCCCCTATAGTATTCAGCATACTCAATAATTCGGTTAAGATTAAACCAAAGTCAAATTGATATTTATCTACACTCAATTCCTAAAATTCAGTAAAATGAGTGGCGTTATATATATAATTATGCAGATAGAAGAGGCTGTTATGCAGATAGTTTGCAATCTTACAAATAAAATCATTATTTTCATAAAAAATACATAAAAAGTTCGTAACGGCCTGGCTCTAGCTAACGGAGAGCGGAAAATTCACCTCTCTCTGCATGGAAACTGACGGAGAGCATCGCCTCCCCTTACTGACTCGTGGTCGGAGAATCAGAGAACGTTTGCAGTTAAATTTACTTAATACAATGTGCAAGTTTTTTTTGGAGGCGTGGTACTCCCCCCAAAATGAAAATGTAGTTTATTTCAGACTTACCATACGCCATTCCCCTTTCCTGTCGATTTCTCGGAAGCGTGGGCATGCATTGTATTCCGCAGTTTCTCGTAGCGAAGCGACGTCCTTGGCTGGCAGCAGACGGTGGCTTCCCGGGAGAACTGCAATAGAATGCGACTCAGATCCAAGTATTTGTGATTTTTCGTGAGAAGACGAAAGGTTCAAAATAAAGCTCTAGGATAACGTTATGATAATATCTTTCTACTATACCGCGCCGTACGTGTTACAAGGTGTACAACTTTGCTTCCGCCGTTTTTCAATAGTTGGCTACAGTGGTAATAACGGTCGCAATAAACAGATCGCAGACGTCAGGCAGTAGCTGTGAGCTTCGCAAACATTAGTGATTTCCGCCCCATTCAAACATTAGTGGATTTTGTTGTGTTGCAACCGGTAACGTAAGAAACTGCGGGCGGAGTCTCATCGAATGCTCTCCAGTACTTTTATGTGAGGACGTGTATTAGTCATAGAACGCTTTGTCGCCGACTTAGTGCGTTTCAAACGCTTCAGAATGGTGACTATACGTGAAGACCGCGCATTTGGCGAGAGTGAAAGTTTTTTGAGATGCAGAAATTGGATGTATGTCCTGAGTGAAGAATCGCGTCAAACTCAAGAAGAACTGGCACGATCATGCGGTTGACACAGCAAGGCCATTTCAAAACGCTCAAAGCCATGAGGTATGATTCATGAAAGAAGGAACATGGGTCCCATTATGAGATGAAACCGAGAACATTGAAAGCGTTGAATGCATCGTGTTGTGACCGGGGACGGAAAAATGCGTTCATTACGATAACCCTAAAACGCGAAAAAATACATAGGGTAATCGCCGCCATGCTTCCACGCGTCGACGGCCAAACCGAAATTCATGGGTCCTAGTCACCTGCTCTGCAATTGGGGGACCAGCTCGCGTCGCTTGTACCATGCAGCTTTTAAAACCAAGTCGGAAACAATCACAGCGTGCATCGATATCGAACGCAATTTAATCGCGTTTTGAGCGACATTTTGAAGACAAACGCCGCAATTTAGCGAGAGGCACGATAAGTGATTTTTTGCTGTCATGACAGTGCTAGGCCCCACTGCAACAGTGGTTTCAAACGTACCTGGAAACGTTGAATGGGACGTCCTACCCCACCCGCCTTATTCTCCCAACGTGCTCCCCTCTGATTATCATTTGTTCGATCAATGCCCACACGGGACTGAGAACACTCCGATTCTTGAAGATGTCACAAAAAGTGGCATATTCGTGATCGCCTCCAAAGATGCAACAATTTTTTCGACCCCGCATTCGCACACTGCAAAACGGAAAGAGGGACAAAATTGTGGCCAGCGATGGCATTACTTTGTCAATAATCTGTTAAGCGTTTTGCAATAAAGGATCATATTTTGCGGAAAAAACCGAAAGCAAAGTTTGTATATACCTTGTACTTTCCAAAGCAATGTGGGTGGCGTATTTTTATTAAAGCATATTACGATTATTACGATCAGAAGCATATTCAGGTTGTATTATAACTACAATTTTATCCAAAATCATTTACCTCTTAGATGAAATTTTTCACTTATACAAATTCTAATTCGCGTGATATCCTATTTGCAGAGAAACGGTACCTTATCGAACTGACGACCTTAACGTTTCTCAGGAAAACACGCGACGGCAAGTGAGAGCTAAAAATTTCACAATTGCTAATTTTCCGGGTGAGAAATTGGTGATTGGTCGAGCTCAAAAAAGCGTAACCACTGTTCAGAGGTCTATTTGTAGCTTCAGCAGAGGAAACAGCGCTCTATTTGTAGCTTCGGTAACTTCATGGTGCGGGCAGAGTAACGAGTTTGAAAAGTCGTGAATAGATGGCACTGAACATTTTCAGTGTAAACACTATGTCAACAAATACGCTACTTTTAACATTTAAAGACATTTTAATCATTTAAAATACGGTTTAAAATAATTATTCATTCATTATTCATTGAGAAAAATAAGAATTATAAATGCGCTGAATTGCTTGATTTTAGTTTCACAAGGAAACATTTTTATTAGCTAACCATCAAGTGTGACTATCTCGCCTTTTCCAGGGTCGTCTACAACTGGACTCGATACACACTCGCTAGGCATTTAACAGGAATGGAAAATGTTGAAAAACCTGCCTTTTCCAGGTTTCCCATACCCCCAAATCTTGTTTTCCAGGTTATTTGAAATATCACAAAAAATGTTTCCAAACTATTGAAAGACATATTTATTAGAACTTACATATTTGTATGAACAGTTTCATATAAACGATACCATTACTTATTGAATCACAGTTTAAGTATTATTCAATTTAACTAAATTAACAATAAATTAATGATGGTTTTATATTACTCAACATTAACCTTTATAAATTAAATTAACCTATGATTTATTCAAAACCCTCATTTCCTTGCGAATGTCTTCTACGTTTGTTTCTTCAGTCGCAATTTGTCTTTTTATCGTTTCGTTCGCAGTCTTTCTTTTGCCTTTGTTTTTTCCAGCACCCTACACATTCTCATAGCATCTTCGTTTTTCATTTCTTTAATCTCGTCTCTTTATCGGCTACGAGCGTTTCATACATATTGGATTGTGCGTTTTGTAAATTAAATTTTGTCCATTCCCCCTTGACTCTGAACCTCTTCCCAGACATGCCCACTAACGATTTCTCCAACGTGTTGTCGACGAAACAATACCTATTCACTGGAAATTCACACTCAATATCTCCTTGGCCGTGACAGAAGACAGAAGACATGAAGCAAAAATGTTACACCGGAAAGAAATACCATTCGAAATGGTAAA